AAACCCATATAGGTAAGCCTGACTGCAGAGTGCTAACATAGGTAGGAAAAGTCATTAATCCATTTTTTTCTGTTAAAAGAAATATGTTGGAAAAATCAATAATCCGTTTTTTTCTTTCTGTTAACAGAACTAGATTATGGCTATTATCGATAAAGCTCCCATTGACAACTGCAAGGAAAAGAGGGCCACATCTACATTTAGATCAACCCTTAGTGCCAGCAAGTCCTGCAATTGTCTGTCTACGAGGTGGCTCCATTGGGGAAGCGTTCAAGCCATATGGTGTTTCACTGAGTTCTAAAACCCTTAAAGGTAACCCGTGTTATTGGGGTGAGAAATAGACTTAAATGATTTTTTCAGTTGCGGTCTTTACCATAAGCTTCTCACCTTACTGGCCATTGGACCTAAACTTTCCTAAAATCTTTTGGTCTAAATCAGGATTCACTGGTCCGAATACAAATTTCAATAAATTTGGATTGGATTGCATTTGAATATAAATTTAAAATATGAAATTTAAAGACCTTGACATTTTTAGAATCATGGTATAACAGTTAAAAACTAAATCAAGTCAAAAGCTGTTTTGAAAATCATATGGTCTTAACACTAAATTCATACATTCTGAAAAATCTATTTGTCCAAACAATAATTAGTATGTCGCAGTCATTGATTACACAGAAAATAATAGAAATATTAATACAACAAAGGGTTGGTAATTCAATAAACATTCTTAATAATAATTGGAATGTGTTACCGTTTTAGAGAACAAAAGAAAAGGAAAAGGAGATGAGACCCTGAAAACTCGCAACGTGAAAACAAAGCGGCTGGACAGCAAGGAGTACAGCGACCTGATAGTGCTGGGTTTGCCTTGGAACAGCACAGCAGATCTTGCTCCTCAGTCAACATGTCACAGGTACTCATTGCTCCTCATTCAGATCACTGGGTCCCTTGAAAAAAGTATTTTAAGTTAGTCTTTACTTTTAGACGAAAAGGATTAAAATGGAGCAATCCAGGTATTACTGGTATCAAACAATAGCAGTTTTGTTCTCCTCATAAAACTTTAAATTAGACCTTTTGGAAACCGTTATCTAGTCACTAAATGTAGACATTTGTTTTCTATTTACAATTTAAATTCTTAGTCCAGACATTTTAGAATCCAAAAGCTCTTTTAATTTGTCACAAACTTGCAAAAAAAAAAAAAATCACTCGCGCAAAATATTTTGACTTCCTTTCTGCCAAATTTCAGATTTTCATCAGACCCAGTGCGACATGCGTGGCGTTGTCACTGGTCTAGAATACTGGGAGCTACTACTCCCCAACCTCGCCCTAAGTGCTGCGGTTGTGGTTCTAAAAGGCCATCGTACAGGTGAGCATGTATTTTCACTTGTTTATATTGTTTAGATCGTTAGACGTTTTTGTGATTCATATGCCTTCCCTTATACCTCTTATTCTTCAGTCACTTTCTTATTGTAGAATCTTAGCACTCTTCTAAATCATAATGTGATTTTCTTGTGTTGTGTTATAGAAGTGAAAATAAAATAAAATAAAAGTAAGTAAAATAAAACAAAATTAAATTAAATAAAAAGTAGTCATGTTAAGAACCATAACATAATAGCATCAAAATACTACTATTAGTATTAACGGTGTGTAAATGCCAGTGAAATACATATTCTTTGTTGCAATTACTGCAAGCTTTCAATTGCTTTTCATACTTTACATTACGTTTCATTTGTAGGCTACGACAGGGCAGTTTTCCAGAAATAATGCTAGAACGCAGAAACCATCAATCCTCGCCTAAATGTGCAAATGTGCAACGCTTTATGTCGCTAGCAACGAGCCCCTGTAGCCACTTTCATTGATGACCGGACATCCTAGCAGTCTTCGTTTTAAGGACACAGCTTGTCTGCAAAAAAATTAGAGAATGTGGAATGATGATGAAGAGCGATATACTGAATGTAAGAGGAATACTGGTACAACCTAATAATGTACTCAAGTCTTTTGGATATTGAGAATTTATGCGCTTCACGGGTCACAGATACGAGTCAGGTGTAATTGCATTTAATAAGTTTTTTTCAGTTATGACAGTGGAACATTTTATTCCAATAACTTAAGAGAGCACCGAAGTTCAGGATGCTCATTCTTAATTCCATAAATGTTCAATTGAATAAGATGAAATGTGGTTCTGTGGGAAAATTTTGTCAACCTCTACAGTTATTATTTAACGTTCAAATAGAATATGTAGTTGCTTTATCCACATTCCAAATGCAGATAAGTTTTCGCTCACAAAACACCACCACTTATGGTCGTCTGTGTTTTATTTCAATCCTAGTGATGTTGTCAATTTTCAAATTTGTGCTGTTGATGATGTGGAGTTGTTCGTCAGTATAGCGTTTGAGAAAATCATAATCCGCACACTAACCTCAAGTAACCCTCACATCTTTGTAAAATCTTACTTCATGTAAATGTTTTTACATGAAGAGGTTTTACATTGACGGCTGGTGCAAGATCTATAATGAAATATTTTACGATTGAGAAAATATTTCATTATATGTCTTGTGCAGTCTGCTCCTCGTGAGGGATGGCTGGATGCATTCAGGCATCTCTCAAGATAGAGGATCGCACATTACTAATATCACTAGTATTATGATTTTCTCAAGTGTTATAGCTGACAAATATATCCAGTTCATCACATATGCACCCTTTTCTCCGGACCCCAAAAGTCATATTGAAATTTACATGGACGGTCATACAGTGAAATATGTCGAAGCTTTATTCATTACTTTTATCATACAGGTAGTTGCGATTTCAGGGCAAAATTACATTTGAGAAACTTCTGTTTTAAACGGTTATGTCAAAGTATAGTTTAAATCATTGAGGTGTCTGGGTAATAAACATATTACCTGAACTTTTTATACATTTTATCATATAGAAGAACTATATTCAAGTTTTGATGGATGCTTTCAGTGTAAAAGGACCGAGTTTATTTATTTATGACTTATTAATATAAGTCTGTTTAATTGTGTTAAGACTAGTAAATGTCTTAATTGTCTTTAGTACCTCTTTCAGTAGGAATAACGTACTTTGTTAAATTCTTGTGCTTCATCTTGTGTACCAATATAGTGTATGTAAAGAAAAGTATGTAGTCACGAGAGAAAATACAGTTGCACCATGTTGTCTAAAACGGGAAGATATTCTTGAACTGTAATGCCAATGAAAAACTGAACTGATGATATTAAAAAGACTGAAGTATCCGGGCGTGGGCACTTTCCCGGCATTCCCCACGAAGGGTTTAGACGGGTTTTTCCCCACGGCCCGAGAGAATTGGGTTCTACCATTTATTGATTCATTGCGTTTACATGATTCATTTATGATTACTAAAGTACTTTCTAAATTGAATGTTACTGTATTTAGAAGTTGAATAAAATTATATTTTCTAATTTTTCTTTTTATTAAAAGTAGTGTACAGATGGCAAAATAATCACCAGACTTACAAATTAAAAATAATTAAAAAATAAAAAGTTGTATGCATATGCGCGCGGCTTGTTTAATTATCGATTAGTCGAAATTCTTTTCATTTGCTCCTTATCTCACTAAAACTTGAGATTTGTCGATTTCTGCCACGTAGATTTCTTCCATAAAACCAGGCAATGTCCAGGTAATAAAACTGATTTTTGGTTTTGGAAATGAAGCTGCGGTGTTGCGTTACTTTTTTTCTCCGGGAGTAACTCGAGCAGATACCTAGACTTTCCTTAGTCGGATAGAGCCCCAAGAAACGACTATCTTAAAGAAATATATCACGCCGTGGGTGTAAGAATCCAGCACCTCTTGATGTTAAAGAAGGGGTATATTACATATAGGGGCGGATCCAGGATTTCCTAGAGGGGCTTCGTTTTTCTTGATCCTCACAAGAAATAAAAGAAGAAAAAAAACAGAACTTTTAAGTCATGGAACGATTCGAATTAAGCATTAAATAAATTAATTATAAATCAATATTTTGTCGCATACTCGATTGACAGACCACATCTAAGATAAACTTACGCCATGATCAGCTATGGTTGTGTTAAGAGAGGCATTAATAGACAAGACAAAAAAAGTCAAATGAAAAGATCGAAAGTAGGTAGATGGCATTGAAAGTCAAAGGGCCCATTTTCAAAGTGATTTTGGGTACTTCTTACTCTTAGTAGAAAATTCCCGTTTAAATATTAAATTCTGCATATTTCAAGAAAACTTATCACCGTTTACATCTACACAAAGGCAGCCAGTTTGGACATTTGATTCCAACCTTATATTTCAAATGAATGCAGCTACAGGTTAAAAAATCCATCCGTGTGAAATGCACCAAACACGTAAATTTGCAATTAAGTTTATTTCAGTCTAATTGGGCTGTTCGTCTATCCCCCTTCCCCCCATCCGCTATTGGCCTTGAGACTAAACTGTGGTTTATGAAATTAATTCTACACTCAATTTATTATTAAATTATTTTAACGAAATAGAAATAACCAGTTAATAACTATAATATTTTTCACAAACTGATGGGTAATCCCGATCGGAAATTCGCAAATTATTAGATATGTCTCGATTTGACGTTTCATGCAGAATATTCAGCCTATTTCCTTTTCAATTACAGTCTCGTCAATATTTCATACTGAATGTTAAACCGATATTTCAATGGAGGGATGATATTATGAAATCGCAATTTAAAGAGACACGTGAAACTTGTTTTTGTCAACCCTCAAATTTTGAGTTCCATGCCCATATTTAGGCACAGGATTTACAGCATATCTTCACGCCGAGACACGATAACTTTATTACCAAAACGATGGGAGACGAATTGAGAATCTTCAAAAAAAAACATATTTAGGAACGGTCCCTTTACTTTATCATTGTTGATAATTGAATTCAAATTGCGTTCATAATAACAAATGAGTGGCCCTGAATGAAACGGAAATTAATGAGGAGATAATCATTATTAGTTTAAAGATATAAAAGCATTGGGTATTGTCCATATCCAAATCGTTCCTGCAGAATATAGAATTCAAGAGCAACATGGGCTCCGCTACTGTTTTAGGATTTGCGTTACTGGTATCACTGTGCAACGCTGGGGGTAAGTTTTCCCAAGGAGGTTAAAGTTGTTATGTTTTCTCGCGTTTTTATAAATTTCTGACTTCATTTTAATTTGCAGCCTCATCACGAAGCGCCAGGGAGGGCACGTTTTCTTGGTTTTTCCACCTGTTTTCTTTATAAAAATATTCCAGCAAAATATTAAACCCTGTGACAAGAGTGTGTCTGTTATAACTCCTTGGTAAAACCAACTTTCCACATCAGTCTTTTTAAGCAATATTCTAATAACGCGTATTTTTCCGGATAATCGTCATCGAGAATATACATTATTTGAACCGTGTCTACGGTGCTTTATTTCGAAAGTCACTGATTGGCAGTAGGTCTATATACAGGCCCGTAGCCACCAATCTCAAAAGGGGGGTTCTTATTCTGAAAAAGTGGACCTTTTCCCATAAAAACTTTATGTACCTAGATCATATTTTATCCAGAGTGGACCTTTTCACAGCAAAAGGGGCGGTTCTTTCGAACCCCCCGAACCCCCCTGGCTACGGGCCTGATATATGTACGCTATATAATGACAAAAAAAGAGGAGGAGGAGAAGAAGAAGAATATTATTAAAAGCATAGCAACCGAAAGGTCGAAATTATACCAAAATAGTAAAGCGATTATTTTTTTCTAAAATGTTTATACATTAAGATCATTTAAGAGCACGCTTCTAAATTAAGTTAACGAAAGCGAAATAAATATTGCGAGAAATTAGCAATCTGATAATTAAATATCTCACCATGAAAAACATAAATTTATTATTGAAAATATGGATGGATGAATACTTGAATGAGTTGGAAGTCAATAAAGGCTTGAAATCAAATGAATAATAAAATAGCTGGTGTCTTGGTTATTCCGTTTTACCTTTTAGTGGTGAAGCGTTCCGGAACTTGCTCCCCGCTAGATCTTCAAGGGTGTACGCAACATCTCATTGATTTTGCCCAAAGTAAAGGACTATCCTTGGAAGCGATGTCTGGCAAGTATACGCCCTCAGCTCAAGACCTGAAAGAAATCTGCAAGTAAGTGTTGGAATTTCGGTATTTTTTTTAATAACAAGGGTTCTAATATAACTGCATGCATATCTAAAAGCAGCAGAGATTAAAAAAAATTAAAGTATTATTTATTTATTACAACATTTGATTGTCTATCTGTCTGTTTGTCTGTCTGTGTGTCTGTCAGCCTATCTGTCCGTTTGCCGGTGTGACGGGAATAGTAGTTCTCTGGGACCGTAGACCGTTACCCATTACTTTATATAGGTAACATTCGTCCCATATACTAACCCCAATACTCTGACTAACCCTAACTTGTACTAATCATATGGGACCCCGGACGTCCTTTCCCAGGACTACCACTCCTTTAGCACCGGTCTGTATATTATCGTCATTATTATTATATTTTTCCTCCTTTTATTTTCTTTAGCATTTACCCGAGGGTTATTGAATGCATCGAAGAGGTAGCGAGCAGAGATTCGTGCGATCCGCAAGTTGCTAGGCTTTTCAGAGGGACGGCAGAGAGCTTGCAATCCAGTGTTAATGCATCATGTGGGCTGCTAGAGAGAAACTGTAAGTCTCTCTTTCTCTTTCTCTCTCTCTCTCTCTTTCTCTTTCTCTCTCTCTCTCTGAGGGTCCGTTTGTTATTTCCGTTACGAGTGAAGGTCACTTTTATTTCCTGAGATGCGTGAAACACTCATTTTATTTAGCATGATTCGTGAAGCACTCTATTTCCGCTACTCATGAATTCGGCTTTTTAATCTCCGCCCTTTGTGAAGCGAAATCACTATACAACGGCGATTCGTGGTTTTCAGGATTTTCGACGCGCACTTTCAGTAAGGTATGAATAAATTTTATTAAATGTGATTTGTGAATGTAGATTCTATATCTTGGAACTGTGATCACTACCTTCCCCCCCCCCAATGGGACCCTCCTCTCTCTCTCTCTCTCTCTCTCTCTCTCTCGAAATAATGTACATAGTAATGGCCCCTAATGGACGCTACATTGCTGAGAAGAACATTTGATAAGAAGTCGATTCGTGCCCTCTAACAAAGCAAGTTAAAACCTGGCGCCAAAAAATCCCGAGAATTCTCCCGTAAATTGACTTTCGAAGGAGAAAACAGCTTCCTTACACTTCTAATGAAGTTATGTTGAGAACTTATTTTTATTTTTGTATTGGTATTTGTCCTAAAACTTTCTGGCCTCCTCTCGTATTAAATACATTTAACTGTCAGCTTCATATGCAGTTACTGCTTGATTATATCTAATATCCGCCATTCATCAATAAACATTTATTCTTTCATTAATATGAAATTAAAATCCAACTTATACAAGAAATTGGTTTTCACAAATTTGATCAAGCGAAATAAGCAATTTAAAGAACAGCGAAATAACAGTGCCTACTCCAGACCTGGAAAGGAACTAGAATCCAATCGTACGACATTTTGAGTCCCTTCAAAATGGCGGGGAAATCAACTTCATCTTTTTTTCAGTTGTCTATGGTTGTCCAAGGAATGTATTTATCAAGCTTTTCAGGGTAGTAAACGATTTTTATGTAGCTTTTATCCTTCAGAAGCATTCCTTTGAGTACAGTTTTAAACTTTTAAATTCATACAGAACTCATGTTTTTTTTTTTATTTTCTTTTTTTTTTAAATCGATGCTTTTTCTGAGCATTTTATTCCCTATATTGTATATTTTTTATAGCCTAAATAAAAATTAATCTTTATCTTAACCATTTTACAGTGACCCTCCCAAATCAGGAATGTATGCAAAGATATACAATGGCTGCCGAACGAAGGTGTAAACCAAAGACTGAATTTTTAGGAATGATGATAGGGAAGGCAATGGCGGGTACTGCGACAGAGTCTGCCGTTTGTTCGTAAGTTAATGTTTGTTTAAAGCCCCCTTTACACTGGACGGCGACCTTTGTGCGTCCCGTAGCACGGCCCCTTTTGAGAGTAAAAAAAAAAATACTTTACGTGCCAACTGGCCGACCATAGAGCATTCATTTTGCAACCAAAGCGATGCTTGTGCCTCCTTTCATCGACCACAGCGATGCCAGTTTCATGGTCGCACAAAGGACGCAAAAAGTACGCCGTCCAGTGTAAAGGGGGTTTTAATTTCCACATTTTTTCTTGATATTCTGCGGTTCAGTTCAACGTTTTTGATAATTGATGTTGTATTGATGTGAAAGTCTTAAGCTGGATAAAAAGATGAAATTGAAGTCGAAACTCCAAGTAATATTATAGCATCGTTTGCATTTGCGCCTGGACTTAGCTATCCTGTTAATCACATATGCCTATCTTAACCCCAGTGTTTTTTTTTCAGGGCCATGAGACGCCTTGTAAAGTGCCACATAAAAGTCGTTACGAAGAAATGTGACGAGGAATTTGCCAACTTTATCAAGAATACGTTGGTCGACTCGCTGTCAAAGGCGATGCCCGGTATTTCGTGCTCGGTCCCCAACTCAACTACATAAAGGTGGCACATATGTACATCGTCCTTTCATTGAAATCATATTAAAATGATATTAATGTATAATTATATTTATATGTATTATATATATATATAGCAAGAACAGGGTCACCCCCACACATCAGATTTTTCTCCAGCCTTGCACAGAGAGCGATTTCAGAAGAGACTGATCAGCAGGAAGTGATCTGTTAGAGCAGCTGACAATTTATGCAGGACGTATGTGAGTGTCTCATGCGCCGCAAAGGCCATTTGGAGCATATTTTGGAAAGAACACAACATTAAGACAAAGCGACCAAAATAATTGAAACTTTGGGGAATGATTGTACACAGACTGAAAATTAGGTCCAGCAAATATCTTGAATTATATATTTAAAATGCAAATTTTCAGACCTAATTATTACGTAAATGTTATGACTCAACAACATTTACTACAAATGCTATCTACTAAATACATGTCATTTCCTTTATTAGAGAGATGTTACAATTAATGTGATCGTTACAAATCTCGAATTATCGATATTTTGAGTGTGTGAACAAGGAGAAATAAATAATAGTAGAAGCGTTTTAAAATACAATGTATGTAATTTGTCATGTTCATGAAATGATTTAATTTATTGTAATGAGGAGATATACAGTAACTGTCACCACCATCATATTAGCGTTTTTTTTAATTTATTATTTTTTTACAATCGATTCATCGTAGAATCCTTTTGTTGATAGAGTACTTCCACAACACACGCGCGCGCTCTTTCTCTCTCTCTCTCTCTCTCACACACACACATACACACACACACACACACACACACACACACACACATATTTGCAAGTTTATCTGTCATTGTGAAGGTAAATGAAGACTACAACATCGTACATTTAAAAATAATCACATGATTTAAAGTTGATAAAGTTTTAGTCTGCTGATTCCAGCAGATGGCGCCATAGCACGCTGAGGTCAGTCACATCTACTAAACTCTGTTCAGATAAAATCGTGCATTTGATCATAACCAGTGACGTAAATAATGTTTCATTGTGGGGGTGTTAGGGT